GGGGGGGAAGAAAAACTATTTTTCGAGTAAATTAACACCGCTGGGGTCATGTTGACCAAGGGGTTGTTTTTTTTTCAATTTATTTCGACGTCACAACCCATAAAATGTTTATACAAAAACAATACATCCTAAAAAATGGGGGGTTTTTAACAATGAAGATGAAACATTAAACACTAGGAGGGTAAAATTGAACAATTTCTGAGAATTTTCAATAAAAGTTTTATGTAGAACAATTTGTGTGATAAAATAGATTGTTGCCATTTATAGAATTTCTAATGATAAATGTTTTATTTTGTCATTAAATTAAATTTAGTTATTTTAGGACGTCATCAAAATCCGTGGAGAGAGGCAAATATTCCATTCCTCAGAGAAAACGGAATCAAGATAGCAAGGTAAAGATGGGACAAGATAAAAAGGTATAGTTGGGACAACATAGCAATGTAAAATAGGGACAAGATAGCAAGGTATAGATAGGACAAGATAAAAGGTATAGTTGGGAAAAGATAGCAAGATATAATTGGGAAAAGATAGCAAGATATAATTAGGACAAAATAGCAAGGTATAATCGGGACAAGATTGCAAGGTATAGTTGGGACAAGATAGCAAGATATAATTGGGAAAAGATAGCAAGATATAATTAGGACAAAATAGCAAGGTATAATCGGGACAAGATTGCAAGGTAAAGTTGTGACAAGATAGCAAGGTATAGTTGGGACAAGATAGCAGGGTATAATTGGGAAAAGATAGCAAGGTATTGTTTGGACAAGATAGCTAGGTATGGTTGGGACAAAATATGAAGGTATAGTTGGGACAAGATAGCAGGGTATAGTTGGGACAAGATAGCAAGGTATAGTTCAAGATAGCAAGGTATAGTTGGGACAAGATAGCAGGGTATAGTTGGGACAAGATAGCAATGAATAGTTGGGACAAGATAAGCAAGATATAGTTGGAACAAGATAGCAAGGAAAAATTGTGCCAAGATAGCAAGGTATAGAAAATTGTGCCAAGATAGCAAGGTATAGTTGGGAAACGATAGCAAGGAATAGTTGGGACAAGATAGCAATGTATAGTTGGGACAAGATAGCAAGATATAGTTGGGACAAGATAGCAAGGAATAGTTGGGACAAGATAGCAAGGAATAGTTGGGACAAGATAGGAAGGTATTGTTGGGCCAAGATAGCAAGATATGGTTGACAAAAGATAGCAATGTATAGTTGGGACAAGATAAGCAAGGTTTAGTTGGGACAAGATTGCAATGTATAGAAGGGACAAGATAGTAAGGTATAGTTGGGACAAGAGAGCAAGGTAAAGTTGGAACAAGATAACAATGTAAAGTTGGGACAAGATAGTAAGGTGTAGTTGGGACAAGATAGCAAGGTATAGTTGGGAAAAGATAGCAAGGTATAGTTGGGAAAAGATAGCAATGTATTGTTGGACAAGATAGCAAGGTATAGTTGGGACAAGATAGCAATGTATTGTTGGTCAAGATAGCAAGGTATAGTTGGGACAAGATAGCAATGTATTGTTGGACAAGATAGCAAGGTATAGCTGGGACAAGATAGCAATATATTGTTGGACAAGATAGCAAGGTATAGTTGGGACAAGATAGCAAGGTATAGTTGGGACAAGAAAGCAAGGTATAATCGGGATAAGATTGCAAGGTAAAGTTGGGACAAGATAGCAATGTAAAGTTGGGACAAGATAGCAATGTATAGTTGGGACTGTTGGGACAAGATAGCAAGGTAAAGTTGGGACAAGATAGCAATTTATAGTTGAGACAAGATAGCAAGGTATAGTTGGGACAAGAGAGCAAGGTATAATCGGGATAAGATTGCAAGGTAAAGTTGGGACAAGATTGCAATGTATAGTTGGGACAGGATAGCAAGGCATAGTTGGGACAAGATAGCGAGGTATGGTAGGGACAATTATTACGGAATTGCGCGTAAGTAAAATCCACTTGCGTTGGAAACCCTAATTTTAAATTTTAATAAACAAATTATCCATGAATAAACTTATTTATATGTATTGGGTACCCCATAGGTTACCTAGGCTTTGAATTTTTCGAAATTCAATCAATAACGCCGGGCACTATACCTAAATTCATATTGTGAGACCACTGGTGTGTAAACGGCGGAAGTAACTATACCTAGGCAACGCCAGGTACTTAAAAATAATAATTTTAATAATAATACTAATACAGGAGAAATAGTGGCGGTGGAACAGTATACCATGATCTAGGAAATCTTAATCTATCATTTATCACCAGTAAACAGCAGTATAATAGGTAACCAGTAAACAGCATGCAGTATAATAGGTAACCAGTAAACAGCAGTATAATAGGTAACTAGTTAACAGCAGTATAATAGGTAACCAGTGAACAGCAGTATAATAGGTATCCAGTAAACAGCAGTATAATAGGTAACTAATAAACAGCAGTATAATAGGTAACTAATAAACAGCAGTATAATAGGTAACTAGTTAACAGCAGTATAATAGGTAACCAGGAAACAACAGTATAATAGGTATCCAGTAAACAGCAGTATAATAGGTAACTAGTTACAGCAGTATAATAGGTAACCAGTAAACAGCAGTATAATAGGTAACCAGTAAACAGCAGTATAATAGGTAACCAGTAAACAGTAGTATAATAGGTAACCAGTAAACAGCAGTATAATAGGTATCCAGTAAACAGCAGTATAACAGGTAACCAGTGAACAGCAGTATAATAGGTAACCAGTAAACAGCAGTATAATGGGTAACCAGTAAACAGCAGCATAATAGGTAACCAGTAAACAGCAGTATAATAGGTATCCGGGAAACAGCAGTATAATAGGTAACCAGTAAACAGCAGTACAATAGGTAACCAGTAAACAGCAGTATAATAGGTAACCAGTATACAGCAGTATAATAGGTAACCAGTAAACAGCAGTATAATAGGTAACCAGTAAACAGCAGTATAATAGGTAACTAATAAACAGCAGTATAATAGGTAACTAATAAACAGCAGTATAATAGGTAACTAATAAACAGCAGTATAATAGGTAACCAGTTAACAGCAGTAAAATAGGTAATTAGTTAACAGCAGTATAATAGGTAACCAGGAAACAGCAGTACAATAGGTAACCAGTTAACAGCAGTATAATAGGTAACCAGTATACAGCAGTATAATAGGTAACCAGTAAACAGCAGTATAATAGGTAACTAGTTAACAGTAGTATAATAGGTAACCAGTAAACAGCAGTATAATAGGTATCCAGAAAGCAGCAGTATAATAGGTAACCAGTAAACAGCAGTACAATAGGTAACCAGGAAACAGCATTATAATAGGTAACTTACTAAACCTATCCATGATGTCCATCGAAATGTGACATTGAAGGTCGTCTTATATATTTTACATGTATTACAGGGGATATTAGTTCCAAAATTAACACTTGGCCCATTTATAACACTGAGTGTTAGACATGGCCCAAACCTGCAAAGTTATCTTTTTCAAGAGTATATACCTTTAAATCCAAGACTAGTAGAACAAAATTACACCATATATTTAAAAAAAAAATGGCTTAACTATGTATTGAAACAATAATTGTCAATTTTAAACAAATAATAAGGTGTGAGAAATAGTGTTTGATGATTCTTGATTTCATTTTCGAACATATCCCTATTTTGAAACAATTACCGGATTTCAACTCATTTCGCGTTATGTGAACAAATCCTGGTTTTGAGACAATTACCGGAATTATTATAAATGGCATTGCCAATTTCTAAGTATTTACGCACTTACGTATCAAAACGAGAAGGAAAAATATAAACAAAATAGAAATAAAAACAAACTGTTATATAATAATTTAAAAATCATTACAGTACTGAGAATCAAATTATTAATATCATTTGTTCTTACAATATAGATTTAACAAGAAATGCGGGAAACTGTTTGTTTAAAATGCTTGAAAATAAATCAATGATATTCTCTAATTTCACAGATAAAATGTGGAAACTTAGAATCGAGAAATAATTCAGAAGTTAATTTAGTCTTCATAAGATGATTTTTGTTTTTTAGTGATTTATTTTGTAAATTATGAAAGTAAGTTTTGTTTTGAATTGCGTATTATACTGAAAACGAGAACGTGGGTTTTGTCTCGAAAACGCAACAATGTTTCAAATTCAAGATATGTTCGAAAATGGAAAACCTGACATTTTATTTAATTATTTGGCAAAGAAAGAAACAAGTTTACTGTTGTAGAGGATCGTGAATATACGGGAACAGACAGTATAAATTCTGTACAGTCGTCTTTGAATTATCATTGTTTCTGGGTAACCCTGTACTTGAGATAAAAATTACGAAAATCTCCTAGTCCCGGCATTTACAAAATGTGGTATGCCTGTTTTAGGCTTTCAAGGCTTTCAATATTACTGTCGAGATATTAATAATTACGTACAAATTTCAATTCATTAAACAAAACAAAATTTTCAAAGTCTCTTCTAAAGTTACATTTACATAAAAAATGCCAAAATTTTCTAAGATCAGCAAATAAAACCTTTAAAAAAACATATTTAACATATTTAAGATATTTAACACCCCTGAAACAGATATTTACTTGTGAGTGTATTACAGGAAGACTAATCTTGAGTTGATCTGCCGAAGCTTAAGAAGATTAGGATTGGAACCTGAAATAAACAGCAGAGATGATCTTATTATCAACCAGAAAAAGGTCAAGAGAGGGATTATTAGTGTCTGGCTAGATATGGTAGTTTAGCCTTCCTGCCCGAAGTCGTGCCGCACCCCAGCCTACTGGGTAGGAGTGCCTTGCCACAACCTGCCTGTGGGCGAGTGCCAGGCGGATTTTAAAGATCGATTTTGCGTTCTTACCTTGCAATTATACTCCGTAAAAACGTCTAATAGATCTCAAATGATTTCTCAAAAAAAATTAATGTTACTGCACTCTCAGCTCAACTACAATGTCTAGTCAGACACTCCCTTTAAGATTTCTTCTAATAATTTTAAGGGACTGTATTAACGTTCTTGAAGTGACTCACCCTTTTTAGACAGACGTAGTATAGCATGCTCGTTTATAACGGTACCATTCAATACCTTGGATCATCAAGAATGAATAAGAAACACATGTTTTTTAACTTAAAAATTGATTTTTTTCAGTTTTGTTTTATCTCTGTAAAAGTTACTGCACATTTCTGTGACATAAACAATAGATCAGGAAATGAACAGAATGTTCAGAATGTTCAGAAAAAGTTTAAATGGTACTGTTGCAAATTTAGCATGCCCCTCTTAAAATAAAAGGTCACTTAAAATTTCAACGTGACATGTTCCTTTAAGGAAAAAGGTGTTACAGTATTTGTTACTATAACTTGATTTATTTGGTGGTTACTGCGAAATCTGAGGTTCACACTAAAAGTGAAAACAGTAATGGAATAATTTGTTAAGAAAATTTTAACGAAATATATTTCAGCAAATGAATAAATTAATACAATGAGAACTTTGTCATCAATATTAATAGAAAAATTTAAATGTTAAATTTCCAATAATATCATCGTTTCTGTGTACATTTATAATTAGAACTCTCAAAAGTATGAATGTTCCATTTTTAGATGTTCTCGTTTAATTTTGGTTATTCATTATGTTCACAAGTACCCTTCTAAATCTTAATTTCAAAGTAAAATGTCAAGTTTAAATTTTGAAATATTACATTTAGAACTTTAACAAGAAAAGTTAAATTTACAATTTAATTTTTTAAAATTATAAAAACTATTACTATTTGAATTCATATGATCCCAAAACTTCACTATCACCAAAGTTTTAGTAACTAATCCTGTAAAACAATTTTACTTGAGTTAGTTTGTTTTTGTAACTGCAATTTTACTCGACAAATTTTCAACATTTTAAAAATTATTATCTGTTAGATTTTATATCTGGAAAAAAGTTTTCTTGATAAAAGAAACTCCTCAAAATCACTTTTGATCCCGCATATTATATTAAATGCCGCAGATTATTTTAAGTGCCGCAGATTATTTTTAAAGATAAAGGAGGTTCGACAATCCTATTTTACTAATATGTTTCGTGGGACACTCTGTAAAACTTTTTGAAAATTCGATGTATCCAAGAAGAAAATTAGTGCATTATGCGATAAAAATCTCGAAAAATCTTTTGTGAAATGTCAATTTTAATCATCTTTTCTACCAAGGTTTTCGTTCAATTTAAACCGATTCTTCTTAACCCAAAAGTAAAACACCAAAATGATATGTTTGAAAAAAGTAATATAAAAAGAATGAACACAATGAGAATAATGCACTGCATCAAATTTTGTTTTAAAAATATGTTAAACTGGTAAATAATTTATAACACTGTTTAGTGGTCATAATCAGTATTGAATCTTTATGAGAAAAAAATAGTTAGATCTTAAAAAAGAATTTTTTCAAAAGAATTCTGAATTCCAATATTTATGCATGCATTTTCTCAAAAAAGGAATTGTTTGCAAAAGTTAAATGAAAGTTATTTTGTTTAGATATCAGGAACAGCTGCAAAAATTGCGAGAAACCGGGCATATCATCATTGTACAATACTAGGAAATGTATTTATTTTTAGCCTCAAATTTAATTTTATTAGATTATCCTAAATATATCCTAAGTCTAAATATTTATATTTTAGAATTTTATTGTACTTTTACAGCACATACAGGGTTACCCACAAAGAATGAGACTTCAGAGACGATTGTACGAAATTTATACTGTCTGTTTCTTTTTATTTTTGATTCCCTGCAACTATAAACTTGTTAGAATCTTTGCCAAATCATTAGATAATTTATTTGATTACTTACAAGCAGAAGATTTAATCGTTTTTATATTCTCATCCTTCTTGGGTAACACTGAGTGATACAGAAATGCCTAGAGATAACGTTAATTTTTTTAAGGCCAGATATTTTGTCGGAAAATTATTTGCCATTTTTTTAATAATGTCTGGTTTTATCTTAAACATTTTTTAGGTTTTTTATTATCGCCCAACTGGGGAAATATATGAAATATTAGATAGAAAGTTTAATTAATTTAAATAATTTTTAGATTTTTTTCCCTAAAAATCATTTATTTTTCTTAGGGGAGCTAATTTTTAAAACCCTTAAAAAATTGCTCCTTACAAACGTACCTAACTTATGGGGAGTAAAATTGTTTTCAAATGAGTGGGGGGATGATGTTTCAAGAGAATAAACACCCCTGTTACTGCCAGGGGTTACAAGTCTTTTGTGTGGAGTATTGTTAATCTTGAAAAATGATGAATTGATCAAAGACTTTATGAGGATAAATGATCGATCCCATAATCAAATTTATCCCTGAAGGGCACAACCACCACAAGATATTGAAGAATAAATAATATGGATGCTTGAGCCTGAAATTTATTACATTTAGTTCTGACTTTAGTTGATGATTAATTCTTTTTTTTACCTTATTTTTGATGATGCTAATCATAATCTGAAAAAGTAAGACTTTTTTATCCTGTTTTTTTTATCATTATTATCTTTTTTATAAATTTGAATCAAAATCCTTTTAAATTTCCCCCCCCTTCCCCCTCCCGATATTCTCCTATATGATCCTTTTCATCCTAAAATAGATATAGCTTAGTGGATGTGCAGCGAGATTTACTGAGCAAATCTTTAAATAATCCTTTTTCAAGTATTCTTAAAACCAATGCAACACCTAGCATCAGGTAAATTTTCTATTTAAAGGGACTGTTCCCAGTCAGAGGGGGGGGGGGGCGACGTAAATTCAAGCAATTCTCTCCATTTACGGAGGCGCCTGGCGCATGTCAAATTCAAAACAAAACCCTTAGCTTAATGTTTTAAGAATGCCCTATTTGAAAGTTGATTATTTTCAATTGTGGTTTTTCATCAGTGACCTGTGTTTTTCTGCTTCAGAATTAATGGAAAAGTTTGTCAGAATTAAACCCTTTTCAAGCCAGAAAATCGACAGTAATTTCCATCTTACAGAGAAATTGAGTCTTTGCCACAAACTGTGATTTTCTAATCTCAAAATCCCAATGTCGTAAACCTTTGATATTTCATATTATGTTGGTTGAAATTATCAACGTTTGAAATACCAAATGGCTATTTCTTCAGGTTGCAAAGATAATGGGATTAGAAAATTTTAGTTTGTGGCTAAGACTCATTCCTTAGATAAAGTTTAAAGGGTTACACTGAGAATTCGACATTCCCCTTTGTATTTAGAAGTTTTCTTGAAATTACCATAAAATATTTTTTATTAGCGCGTCCGAAGAAATGCCTTCTTTCAATAGAGAATGTTGTTAAATGGAGCCAGTTTATTTAAGTAATATTTGGCATTCTAATTACTCCGTGATATTCGAGGCTATGAATAATCTCAGCTTGTCTGTTTGTTTGGTTGTCCGATCATAACTCATGAACCCCTGGACCAATTTGTTCCAAATTTTGTTTGGAAACTCAGTTGAGTGGGTTGACTTTAACAAAAAAAATTCTAGGCAAAGCTTGGTAGTTGGTACCCAACCTTTTTATATAAAAGTTTGCGTTGTGTGTTTGCTTGTTTGTCTCTAATAAATGTCAAAATGATTTGACCAATCTGGTCCAAATATTTGTCGAAGACCCGTATAGATTTTTTTATTAACATTGTTTTCTGGAAAAGTTGTGAAATATTACATTCATTTATCAATTTCAAATATACGAAGACAATCCGTTTTGGATATTTCAGCAACAGATTATTTTTAAATTTTGTATTCTTTGATGTCTGCTAAAATTGAGAACCTTTTTTGGGAACCGGGCCAATAGGCAAGGGCTTTTGAAACTTGCAGCTGAATACAAGCGGGTTTTGATAAGTTAACANGATCAGATAAAGGTTCCAAGAGTACGGCATTTCCATCTGTGCATGAAGGGTCATTTTAAATTACGCTTACAGTCCCTTTAAACTAATAACAATTTGATATTTCTGCTTAGCCATGCAAGTTAAAACAAAATATTTGAATTAAATGTTATCTAAAATTATTCAATGAATGCACGTACTATCTATTGTGCATGATGTTTAAAAAAGGAACTCCTTTGATTTTGTACGATTCACAATGGTACCAATTAACCCAATATATGACAAGGACCGAAATAGATTTCCTTTTTCATCTCTTTGAAAATTGATTTTCCATAGTGGGTCCTCAGTCAATGATGCCTCTTATCGTTACTAGAATTAAGGTTTAAGAGGTACCGTTGTGAATCCTGCATAAAACTCTCTAAATGAAGAGTCATTTCAAATAGCGTCCACAATCCCTTTAATTCTTAGAATCAAACGAAATTGTACAATAATAGAAATATAAAAATAGTTTTTCTAGATGTTTTGGAAAAAGAGAAGGAGGAACTCGTCATTTTTTAAGGCATGTGCCACAATACAAAGTTTTTAAAACATGTGTATTGTTCATTGTGTATTTAGTTTGTATTTTATATTTGTTAAAGGACTGTAAGCGCAATTTCAAGTAACCCTTAATGCAAAGAAGTTCTCAATGGTACCCTTGAAATCTTTATCTCGAGGTTTAAAAGTATTTATTTCTGATTATTCCAATATGTTTTCACAGGGGCGGATACAGGGGGGCGGCAGGACCTTCGCACCTCTTGACGGATTCAGGAGCCCCCTCCTGAGATTTCAGAATAGCTCCCCAATAGCACTTAAGAGAAAGAAAACCTAGTGAAAACAGCAAAAATATCTATCTTAAACAAATTTGTTCCTAAATCTGGATGTTTTTGTTTCGAAATAAATCTAGCACCCCCCTCACTTAATCCCTGTATCCGCCCCTGTGTTTTCTTGCCGTAGAAATGCGCAAGTCACTTATTTAGAGAAAACTCTATAGAAAATAAATAGTGCTTTAAAATAAAAACATTCATATCTAATTCACACTTGATTTCACAATGTTTTAAGCCTACCATTGTGAATCGGTCATTGTCATCTTTACATGGTGGTCACTTGAAATTACACATACAGTAAACTGAGAACGTACTCTGTTTAATTAAGTACAGATATTAGTCAATAGAATTGTTATAAACCGCGCCTTCTTAACTCTAGTAAAAACAGGGTTTTAAGCAAACGAATGGACATTGAGTAACAACTGAAAGGTCGCCTTTGATCCTTAAATTACAAAGTCTGAATCCGAGTGTTTGTTTAATGTTGTTCATGAGGTACACATTAATAATGTTGCATTACTTGTTTCCCCTCATATAGTCATAAAGTCATCTCTCTAGGACTGGACGGACACGTTCCAATTTTTTCTATCCATTTTTTGTGAAAAAATAATCAGATAGCCGAATTTTAAAGAAACGGAACGTTCGTTTCATTTTTTTATGTTACCGTTAGTTAACGATTTCAATTTTATTAACGAAGTTAACGGAAGATCTTTTGCTGTTAACGGTTGTTTTCTGTAATTAAGGGCGTTAGTTATTGGTTTGTCAAATAGTTAACAGTTGTTAGTAGTATTAAATGCGTGAAAGGTTTGCCGAAACCCTAAAATTTCTTTAAAAAATCGTTAACGGTTTATAAAATCGGATTTACGGCACAATATCACCAAATAAAAAAAATCTAGTTGCAAAATTGTTTCTGCAAGTTTCGTACAAGTTCAGCAGTAAAATTAATTAAGTCCCGTCCGTTTTGTTTTCGTTTTCAATCATCATTTTTTTTCTTTCAAAAATGGCTAATCTGTTACGTCAACGATTTAAAAAATAACAGATTTTGCCGTTTGTTAACGTAATTTTCAGCTAATTTTCTAAAACCTTCGTTTCGTTAACATAGCTTTACCCAGCCCTACTCTCAACTGTCATGTAGGTCTTGTAGGACACACCAAATATGAAATTGAGTCCCAATCTCAAATTAAAAAATGGGTTTAGGTTGGTGGAATGATTTTTGATGATCTTGGAAGAAAAAAATTGGAGTTTTTCTCTCCTTTTTGATACTTAATTCCCCCCAAAAAGGGGAGGGCATAAGTCGTTTTACTCCCCGGAAAATTTAAACAGTGGTTAAACATAACTAAGCATTGTCGTAGGACGCCGATTTTTGCATGCGAACTCACTAATATGTATTGTATCTGCAAAATGCAATTTNTGATTTTTTGCATGCGAACTCACTAATATGTATTGTAACTGCAAAATGCATTTTAAAATAGATCGGAGCAAATGTGCGCGCGCGCTTTTTGTAAAAAAAATACGACTTTTTTCACGTTTTCACATTCAAAAGAAAAGTAGCATGCGATATATCAAACTAAAGCCAAATTGGGACACGGAATTCATTTCCGAGGTCAAAATTCTGACTGGCGCGCTAGTCACATTTTGTGTCATCTTACTATAAGTTTTACATGCCTTATTTCAATTTTTAGGTCATTGGGCACGGGGATACCATCTCTTGGGTTAAAAATCTTTTGCCCACTCTGATCGGCGCGCTAGTAGCCTACCGTTATGTTATGGGTCATCATACACAAGATTTTGCATGGTGTATTAAAATTAAAAACTTGTTAGTTTCACACAAACAAAATCAATGATCTAACTTAGGGGGGAGTTTTCATGAAAATATATGCCCCTGGTTTAGGTCCCCTATAGAGAATATATCTGGTGCTAGCAAGGTGACAACTGACGAGGTTGAAACTGCCATCGCTCAAGAGTTCTCAACAGATACATTCATTTTAGATGCACAGGTTAGTTAAAATTCAATAATAATAATTATATAATTTAAGCTAAGGTTTTTAGACACAAATTTAATAATAGGGCTGATTTAAAGAACATTTATTTCAAACGTTTATGCCTGATTAAATGAAAGCGATAGGTAGTTAAACTAATATTTTATTGCAAGGGAGATGTAGTTCATCCTTCCTTTCATAGTTCTACTGCTTTTCTTTTTTCTTAAATCTAATCTTGTCTGATACCAATGTGCCTTGTGTGACAGCTATTGCAGAAAAACAGATCTCAGCTTGAACGCTTGTGCGTCGGTTTAAGTTGAAGAAGTCTTTGTAGTTCGTCTACTTCTTTGTAGTTCTTCTACTTCTTTGTAGTTCAACTACTTCTTTGTAGTTCAACAACTTCTTTGTAGTTTAACTGATAAACTGACCAATATACCTGAGTACTAGCATAATAATGTCAGTGACACATATTCTCTGGAAATGAATATGTACAATAATAGCTGATATATATATAAAACCCCCAAGCCTAGGAGTATTTATATCTGAAACATGAAGATGTAGAATACACAACAATATATAAAAGTAACCAAAACAATAACATATATATAGCCTGTTCCTGGAGACTCTTCCAGTATCATGATATAGTCCTGTAATAGAAAACATCATCAGACTAACATTAACTACTTCTTTGTGGTTCAACTACTTCTTCGTAGTTCAACTACTTCTTTGTTGTTCAACCACTGCTTCTTAGTTCATCCCTTTCTTTGTAGTTCATCTACTTCTTTGCACGTCAACTACTTCTTGTTAGTTCAAATACTCCTTTTTAGTTCAACTACTTCTTTGTAGTTCCACTATTTTTCATGGTTTACTAACTTCTTCGTGGTTCAACTACTGCTTCATACAAATTTTAGATAGCCTTTAATTATAAAGGTAAGAACAGAATGTTCCTTTCGTTAACGGCATTTACCGTTTTTTTAATTACCGTTTGTTAACAATCTCAATTTTATTAAAGACGTTAACAGAAAATGTTCAACAATCGTTAAAGGCTCCAGTCCTGAACAGTCTAATACATTTTTAATGGCGTAAAGCGGAAAAAAATCGTTAACGGATATGAAATTGTCAACGGTGCAGCTTTTAACAGTCTATTGTAGTTTTAACGGCGTTAACGGTTTGTCATTAACGGCACTAGCAGTTTAACTATAATTATCCTTTTCTGCGGACTGAGTAGTATCTAGATACCCAAATCAACAATATTTATCCTATTCTGCGGACTGAGTAGTATCTAGATATCCAAATCATCTATATTTATCCTATTCTGCAGACTGAGTAGTATCTAGATATCCAAATCATCTTATATTTATCCTATTCTGCGGACTGAGTAGTATCTAGATATCCAAATCAACTATATTTATCCTATTCAGCGGACTGAGTAGTATCCAGATATCCAAATCAAATATATGCAAAAATAACGAAATTCACTGTTTAAAATAAATCCGTTCCGTTTTCGTTTAACTGTTATTTTTTTCAAAAACGGCTAATCTTTTTCGTTAACGGTTTCAAGATTAACTGTTTTTGCTATTCGATAACGGAGTGTTCCGTTAATTTTCAAAAACCTCTGTTCCGTTAACGGAACTTTGTCCAGTCCTACTTCTTCATTGTTTAACTACTTCTCGCTTTTTCTTAAATCTGGTCCTAACTGTTTGCTTTTATATTGTGGAGGGAGGGCTGAAATTTTTTCTGTAATTACCAAATATTTTGATGAATTTAAAAATATTTGCCAGGATTTTTTCCGTTTAAAGCAGGGATAGCTTGAAACTAATCTTTTAACTTTTGGTTAAATAAAATATGAATTTATTTGCGCATTTTATAAAGTAAAGATGTTAAGTTAAAAAATAAAGCAGATTAAAAAACAAATGTAATTTTTAAAATAAGTTTAAGAATAAAGGAAGTAAGATTAAAACTATAAAATGTACAGGATATAATATACTGGACATAATGTAGAGAATATAATGTACAGGATATGATGTAAAGGATATAATAAACTGGACATAATGTACTGGATATAATGTACAGAATATAATGTATAGAGTATAATGAACATGATATAATGTACAGGATATAATATACTGGATAAAATATACAGGATATAATGTACTGGATATAATGTACTGGATAAAATATACAGGATATAATGTACTGGATAAAATATTAAGGATATAATGTACTGGATATAATGTACAGAGTATAATGAACATGATATAATGTACAGGATATAATGTACAAGATATAATGTACAGGATATAATGTACTGGATATAATGTACTGGATAAAATATAAAGATATAATGTACTGGATATAATGAACTGGATATAATATACAGGATATAATGTACTGGATATAATGAACTGAATATAATGTACAGAATATAATGTACAGAATATAATGTACAGAGTATAATGAACATGATATAATGTACAGAATATAATGTACAGGAAATAATGAACTGGATAAAATATAAAGGATATAATGTACTGGATATAATGAACTGGATAAAATATAGAGGATATAATGTACTGGATATAATATACTGGATAAAATATAAAGAATATAATGTACTGGGTATAATGAACTGGATATAATATACAGGATATAATGTACTTGATATAATGTACAGAATATAATGTAAAGAGTATAATGAACATGATATAATGTACTGGATATAATGTACAGGATATAATGTACAGGATATAATGTACTGGATATAATATACTGGATAAAATATAAAGAATATAATGTACTGGATATAATGAACTGGATATAATATACAGGATATAATGTACTGGATATAATGAACTGGATATAATGTACAGAATATAATGTACAGAGTATAATGAACATGATATAATGTACAGGATATAATGTACAGGATATAATGTACTGGATAAAATATAAAGGATATAATGTTCAGGACTTAATGTACTGAATATAATGTACAGGATGTAATGTACAGGGTATAATGGATGTATGATTAAATGCCCTGGATATAATGCACTGGATATATCGCACAGAATATAATGTACAGGATATAATGCATAGGATCATAATGTACAGGATATAATGTACATGATATAATGTACACTGTACAGGATATAATTTACAGGATTTAATGTAAAGGATAAAATTTACAGGATACAATGTTCAGGACTTAATGTACTGAATATAATGTATAGGATGTAATGTACAGGGTATAATGTATGTACGATTAAATGCCCTGGATATAATGCACTGGATATATTGCACAGAATATAATGTACAGGATATAATGCACAGGATGTAATGTACAGGATATAATGTACAGGATATAATGTACATGATATAATGTACATAATATAACGTGCATGATATAATGTAATGGACATAATGTACTGGATATGATGTACAGGATATAATGTACAGATATAATGTACATGATATAATGTACATAATATAACGTGCATGATATAATGTAATGGACATAATGTACTGGATATGATGTACAGGATATAATGTACAGAATAAAATGTATAGGATATAATAATAATAATAATAATATAACGTGCATGATATAATGTACTGGATATAATGTACAGAATATAATGTACATGATATAATGTACATAATATAGCGTACATGATATAATGTACTGGACATAATGTACTGGATATAATGCTCAGGATATAATGTACAGGAAATAATTTACAGGATAAAATGTACTGTACTTAGTGTACAGGATATGATGTACATGATATAATATACAGGATATGATGTACATGATATAATATACAGGATATGATGTACAGGATGTTGTACCTGAAGCGGCATTGAAAGCTAAGGCTGCTGAGCTGGTCAGCTGGGGTTGGATCTATGGGAAAAGTCCAAAATTTGAAATTGACGAAATAGTTCCAATTAACGGGGAAAAGATCAACATTTCTGCCAGGGAAGATTAATACATATTTTATTATTTATATTATATTTTTTTAAATGTCTGAATTTGACGTTCTCAACCGAAACTATTTATTTTAAAGGGATTAAGTTCTATAATCCGTGAAAATATAATATAACAGCCGACTTAATATACATTGTTTAAAAGGTATGTATTATCAGTGAATAGGGATTTACAGTTCAAAAATTCGGACCTTAAAATTAGATTGACAACTAATTTTAACTGACAAATAAGGCAAATTTGAATCTTTTCAGTATTGTTGGAGGATATATACAGGAGCTGAACGTAGGAGAGCATAATAATGTGTTAAATGATAAAATATTGTTCAAATCGGAATCATTTCTTGAGATTGCTGACTCACTTAGGAACTTTAAACAAACAAATATGTTAAAGAATTTTTAAGGAATTATTTTTTTGAGTTTGTATGAAGTAATATAAATAGAACTTTTAACAGGACTTCTCAGTGATTTTGATATTATTTTTTATTCTTTTGTTGAAAAGTTTAGTCTTTTAAAAATCCTAAACACAATTTCTCCATTTTATGATGAAATATTTATAATTTAAACCCTTCCTTTATAGTTTTCAAAAGTTTATACTTAAAAGGTTTTATGTATTTTTACATTTTTTAGAATGAAAATTTTTTGAATTTGTTAGTTTATTATTAGAAACGACGAGAGAGAAGCTGTTTTACACTTCCACAGGATTATATTAAATGTTGCATAATTATTAAAAATATTCGTAAGTTTTTAGTAAACAATCTTTTTATAAAACTTTTATGTATGACCCACCTTTAAATCCCTATAGACAATCTTACTTTTATGTAATCTAATTGTGTAAATTTTCTACTGCAAATTCACACAATTATTTGAATCTTTTATTCTTTATGTATATATATCTATATATAAATTTGGCTTGTCTGTTTGTTTGTTTGTTTGTCTGTCTGTCTGTCTGTTTGTATCCAATAAACGTCAAAACGGCTGAACCGATCGGGCCCAAATTTTTTGTGGGACATCTAGGGACCCCAGGGAAGGTTTATGAATGATCAAAATTTCAAATATTTGTCTCCATCAAAATTCGATCTTCATTAAATTTTTGAAAATTTTGAAAATCCACGAAATTTTTTGTGAAAATCCGCGAATTATTTTTGTTTTGTTTTACGATGTACACAAAGAGAACATGTTCACAATTAATTTAGAAGATGGGCGCGAAGCGCCCTCTAAGGCTAGTTTATATAAAATCTGATGATTAGAGCCATACTGATGAGTCCTAATAGGACGAAACACTGTGTCTATGGATTGGATATATACTTGCTTGTCTGTTTTTCTGTTTGTTTGTAACCAATAAACCAATAAACGCCAAGATCTCTGAAATGATCGGGTCCAGAAAAGTTGTCTAAAATTTTTTTTAGTTTTGGTAATAAAAATTATGAAAATTCGTGAAAAAAATTGAAAATCCGAAAAAAAGTTCATTTTGTTTATCGAAGAGAAATTGCAGAAAGATTGAGCAACACATAAAATTGAATTAGAATATGAGCGCGAAGCACCCAGAGCTGGGAACTTTAGAATGGTGGATATCAGGATTAATGCTTAATCCACTCTTTTTCTTAATCTCCAGATTAAATATGGCTTGTTTTTCTCATGAATTTAATCTCCAGATAAGTCAACAGATCGGGATTAAGGATATCACATTCTAAAGTTTTCAGCTCTGATATCCTAATAATATATATATTTACTTAATTAGTATAATTCTTTTTTAATAAAAAATGTTAAGTTAAAAACTGAAATTATTTACTTATATATCTATTCTTCTAATAAAAAGAATTATAAAGGTTTCTTGCATGCAAATAACGCAATTTTTCAATTTACAAATGTACACTGAAAATCAAGTATGATTTAGATTTATGTTGTTTATTTTAAACTGTTTATTTTCATTTTTAAGTCTCTGCAAAAGTTAGCTGACAGTTTTTTGCTTTAAAGGAAAACCAAGGAGAAATTATTAGAATTAAACACTTATCCGAGATAGAAAAGACGTTATCTTTGATTAGAGTTAAGTTTCAAGGGTACCTTTTATGTCTCCATTTCTAATAGAAGGTATATGACATAAAGGTTTAATTCTATTTCGTCATCACTGGTTACTGCCCACACGCTTCAAATCTAAAAAATAGATTAAGTAATTTGTCTTATGAACTTTAAATATTTATCAGACCAGTTAATTTTTCTTTGCAAAACAGTTATTTAAGTATAACTATTTGCTTCTAACGTTGGAAATTGTAAAGTAATTAATTGCAGTATTTAATAAACCTAAATTGTATGTATTTTGGTCTGTTTTGTAATTGTGCTATGTGCATCAAAATTAGAAATTGACATTTTGGAATAGATTTAGGAATATTTATGATGAGTCTGGGAAGAAATCTTCATCATTGAAGTACTATCGGAGACTTCTTTGAACAACTCATTGGTGGTTCAGTAACATTATGCCTAGTTCGTGAATGTCTAGTTCACACTATGCCTAGTTCGTAATGCCTAGATTCATGAATGCCTTGATAACATTATGCCCATATTTCCCAATGCCTTGATAAAATTATTATTATTATAAAGATTTTTTCACACACAAAGATATAAATACATATATAAATGGTGTAGTTTAAAGTTGTTTAAATAAATTTTAAAAATACAGGTTTCCAAAAGAAAAGAGAAAAATATGCAAAACTATGCACGAACAGACGACATTGATCATTACTCATTACATAACATATTTATCATTTCAGTTATTACGTAATCATCGCATGCCTTCAAACATATTAAAGCAAAAAAGAAATGATACTAGAAGGCAATTGATATATCACATATTTTATTGGTCAAATATTTGCCCATTATGGGCTAAACTTGAAAGATAATCAGCTCTTGGCATGCTATAAAATGCTTCAACTACAAACTGATCTCATTCACAAGCATCAAGGGACTTTTGTTTTCAGAAAGTTGTTTGCAAATTTTTGTAATAATGTTCAAATATAACTATACTAGCTTATTATTATTTCCAAAAAATATCGATGAAAAATGAGTTAAAAATCTCCTAAAAATTTAGCTGAATTTTGGGAAATAAATGAATTTTATATTTCAAGTATCAGTTTTTTATTAAATCTTCAATTATTATTTAACTCCCCTCCATTGAGGTAATACAATACAAATATTCTTTTGGAAAATTTGTCATTTGTATTATTAACACTAAAACTTAATCCTTCACTGGCAACTTGCAGGGACATCCATCCTTGAAAAGTGGGGGAGACCCTGTCCCCCGGGAAATACTAGGGCCCGACCAAGAAATAGGACCTGCTTAGATTTTTATGAAAGAATCGAATTTTTGCTTACTTAATCGCATCCACGGGAATATTTCGTAAACTGCCCCTGCTTTACGTAATTGAGTAGACGGTTATTTTTAATTTTTTAATTCCTAGATTTTTAGTTGAAAGATTAGGATTTTATTAATGGAGAAAAATAACTTAATCTACGTCATAGTTGTTTAGATTACGCTATATTAACGTAAATATTACTAATAGAATCATTTACGGTAATCTTCCATTATTTTCTTGCATACTTTGAGAATCAGAATCAGATAATTGAATACTTCCTAAACAAATGCAAAAAATGCATACTTCAATAACAAACTAATGTTCCGAAGCAAAATAAATATTAAATAAATATTTCCGAAATCAGAAAATTGAATACTTCCGGAATAAAATAAATGCAAACTTATAATTAAAGAAAAATTCTAGCCTGATTTTAGACGTTTACAAAGAGTTTAGACGGGTATCACAAAAAGGTTACGAACTACCATCATGTGCCCTTTTGAAGTCTTCCAAGAAACAGAGAAATTTTTTCAAATTTTGCACTGCAGTACAAAAACATTAAGTTTCTTTACGTAGAATATTGTTGTGTTTCAGATAGAATGAATTTGTATTGTGATTACGAAGAGGATGAAGGTATTCAATCTGAGATCAGTATTTATGAATCTAGAAAAGTTGTTGAACTACAGGGTGTCCCATATCAAATTAGACCGCGTCAATGGTTCTAAAATACGATTTGGGGGACATATCTGAATATTTAAAAACAATGAATCATTTTGATAAATTAGATAAGACTAATAGAATTTTTTTTTTGCAGAGAATGCTAGATTTCTAGAGTATTATGTGCGTATTTTGGCGTTAAAGATTGGAGATAATCTAATATGATACGGGACGCTCTGTAGTTCTGGAGAGATTTTAAGTTATTATGTTTTCAATTCGAATCAAATTTAATAATTTGTCATCTTTATTTCTGTACTATAATTATTACTATTATTTCCATCATCCATCAGCCATCATCCATCAACAATCATCCATCATCCATCATCCATCATCCATCAACCATCAACCATCATCCATCAACCTTCATCCAGAATCCATCATCCATTATCCATCATCAGATCACCACTAATCAACCATCATCAATCATCCATCATCCATCAACCATCAACTTTCATCAATAATCCATCAACCATCATCCATCATCCATCAACCATCATCCATCATCCATCATCCATCAACCATCAACCATCATCCATCAACCTTCATCCAGAATCCATCATCCATTATCCATCATCAGATCACCACTAATCAACCATCAACCATCATCAATCATCCATCATCAATCAGCAGATCAACACTAATCAACCATCAACCATCAATCATCATCCATTCTATTATCCATCAACCTTCATCCATAATCCATCAACCATCAACCATGATCAGAGTACCACTAGTTGACTATATGGTATTCACAAGTTGATGGAAAATGTGAAAATAATATATTTAAATCTATTTCAGGATTTCTACCCGGCGGGGAGAGGGGAATGGAAGACTCAAGATTATTAGATGCGGCAGAAACATTAGGTTGGATAAATACCTTAGTCTCTTTCAGGGCTGTAAATATGGTTTTCAAACCTTTTGTGAAAAACAAAATAAAAATGTTTTTACTTTTTACCTAAAATTCATTCGATTGGTTCTCACAATCAGATGTTTTCATATTTCTGCGATAAAAATCTTTTAAAAAATGTTTAATAAAAAATGACATATCCCTGTTTTTTGCATTGCGAATGCCTTATTTTTGAATTTTTCACTGTCGAGATTTTGAAATTTAGAAAATTTTGGGTGCGATTTATCTGGACATTTATTTAGTCACAAAATAGAAATTATTAATTTTTTGTGAAAAATATGCCCCCCCCCCCTCCCCACCCACCCAGCCAACTTTTTTTCTTTTGCATGTTTATTCTTCAAACTCTAAGAAATGACATTAGTACATCAAAGAATTCAATGGACTATATTTTTTATGTTATGGCTTCTTTAAACTGGTAGAAAAGGTTGTGATTTCTTTAGTCACCCTTCAAACAAGTGATCTGGGATCCTCCAATAATCCTCTTTTTGGAACAAATCTAACAGTCCTTCAAAACTCTGAACCCTTCAGGTATTTTAGATTGATTTTTTTCTTTTTAAAGTTTTTAATGGCGGAAATAATTATTTTGGACAATCTGACTAGCTCAGCTTTTACCCTAATATCCTTAGCGTTTTTATTATTAGGAACTGGAAAAAAGTTCAGGAAAATGTTCATCAAAAATACACCGTTAATAAACACTTCACATACAATTAGGGTTGTTAATCGTTTTTGAAAACGATCGTTAAAGGATCTTTTTTTGTTTCGTTTTTCGATTTTTTTCAAAAACGATTGTTTCGTTTTCATAAAAAAACGATCGTTTTTAAAAACGACCCATCGAATAACGATCGTTTTTGTAAAAACGATTTGTGACCGTTTTTTATACGATTGTTTTTTAAAAAACGATCACGTTTGAAAAAAGAATTTATTGACAATCATGTTAACGATCGTCAACGAAGGGTAATCGTTAACGATCGTTAATGAAACGACGAGTTTAAAAAAACGATCGTTTTTGAAAACGACCGTTTTTCAAAACAATCGTTTTTAAAACGATAGTTTTTAAAAATGATCGTTCCATTTTCGATTTTTCGTCGTCGTTTTCATAAAGAAACGATCGTTTTTCAAAGAAATGAAAACGTTAACATGCCAACATACAGTACACAAAACTTCAACAATTTAAGTTGTAGAAACTTTCTAAAAGTTACAGAAATAAATGTTTACATTCGAATTCATTTGAAATCACAAGCAAAGTCCCTTTATTGCTTTTCCTTCATTTTAGAGATGATAAGAGAACGTATCAAATTCTTGGAGACATGCAACCTTCTCACTTCGATTCGCAGACATTGGAGGTAAAAAATCTTTTTCCCAAATTACCAACTTAGCCAGTTAGACGAACAATTGCGTAATTTTATATAAATGTTTTATGATAATCACGTTAAATTACTTGATGATCTACATTTCATTTTGCTGCGGCATCTTATAAAGAAATATTTAAAGAAAACCTTTACACCATGGGTATAGAAAAAAAACCTGAAAAAAATCTTTTTTTATCAAGGACGATCCTCTTTTTCTTCCAAACAGTTCCAGTTCCATCGGTGATCAGCAGGTTGGATTGGAGACATTTCAGGCTTAGTTATGATTGCATGGAAAGGCACTTTAAATCAGGTTTTAAGTGTCATCTTTTTCTTGAAATTACGTTGATTATTATATTAATTCATTATTTTTTTTCTATCAAACTGTAAACAAGTCTAAGATATCCAACCCTACGAACAGGTTGGGACTGTAGGGTCCAGGGGTAGGGGGAAAAGGGGTCCTAGTAAACGAGGTCGAGGGAAGAAAGTTGAGATGGGTCGAGGTGGTGGTGGTGGAGATTTCCTCCCTTGTTACCAGGAAGTTGTTGAGAAGACTGAGATGCTTCGTGTTGGGCCTCTTTTCCTCAAATCTTCAATTCTAGAAGATATTCTTAGTGAAAGAAAACAGGCAGGACAGGGGGCATTAAATTATATTTTTAATCAACAATATATATTCCTTTTTAACCATGTTTTTATCTGCTAATGTTTTTATTTATTGAATAATGAAATTTTAATGAAAATGTTGTACTAACTGAACTATTTTAATTATCAGTTGCAAGAATTGCAAATTACAAAAAACATTTGTGACATTTCTTGCGTAAAAGGATTAACAATTACTAAATTAATTTTCTGGTTCTTATTGTATTTACTACAAAAATAACGTTTCTTTTTGCGTTAATAAAAGACAGCTGTTTCATATAAAATATATATTTTTAAATGTTATTGAGTTCATGTCGACCTGTACCAGGAACTAATGGAGCACCCGCAAGTGAAGGAGTTTTTAGCAAAAAAATATCATTAATTTTTTAGAATCCGTTTTTTAATATTTAAAGAATATTTTGAAGTTTCTACTTAAAGCAGAAGAGATGTATAAACCATGTCCTAACAATATGTGTAATTCCAAGTTTCATACATAAAGAAAATATAAAGTATAATTCTCTGTTAATTAATAAATTTTAGATAGACATTACATTTGTTATTAATACATTATTTATATTCTGAATTTGGAAATGGATCATTTTCTTTAAACAAAATCTAAACTAGAGTCTGGATCCAAGCTTAATATTTCGTTCCAGTGCAGGGGCCAGATTTTATCATTTGTTGGACATAGAATTGAACCTTATAGACTAAGTTGAATCACTTCTCTTAGGCTTAATTTTGCTTATTTTTTTTGCTTATTTCTATGGTAAAAGGAAAACTTGAATAATTTCTCTTTTTTCAATAGTTCAGTTTTGAGTTTGAGAGCAAAATTTTGCTTACAGTTTTTGGTTGATATTTTGCCCTTGTTCAGTAATACATAATTGTAGAAATATATAAACAGTTTTAAAACGCTTCATTAAATCATTCAATTGAAAAACTAAATATCTACAGCATTCCATTATCAGAAAATTGAGAAAACGACATTTTAAAAACTCATAAAATGTCTCTGAAGTATAGAGGCCTTGCCGACAGAGTGGTCGTCTTGTCGAACTTTAGGGGACGATTGTTTGGCCGCTAGATGTCTTACGCTAAATTCTTATATGATAGATAGATAATTCTTGCGACCACAGTCGGGGACGTCATGTGGTCGACCACTTTAATATTTAAAAGGAATGGCCTCTGGGTTATACTGTATGAAAACTGAATGGATCACACGATGCTATGGAAACTGACCTATAGACAAAACCGACCTTTAATTATCGAGTAGTTTTCACATTTGAAATTACATATTATTAAATGAGAACTTTAGTTTGCTCCAGAGAATTTCCAGTTACTGACGTTCTCTTTTTAATTGAATCTCATATTTTAATGTCGAATAGAAAGAAGAGCAATTTGTGTTAGAGCTTACAAAATTGTTCATTAAAACTCTAAAAAATATTTTCGAGTATTTAGATTTGCATTTCTTCATAATCAACGGTTTAGTTTTTTTTACTCTTTTAATTGAATCTCATATTTTAATGTCGAATAGAAAGAATGGCAATTTGTGTAAGCGTTTAAGCTTACACTTGTTAGCAGTTGCCTTAAACTTAAAGTACATTTTAGAGGTATTTATACGGTTTATTTGGTAAAAAAAAATCTCTCGTTAAAAATAATTTTATGTTTCATGACAAACAAATTTATGGAATCGTTCCTTTCAAACAATTATTTTACAAGACTAAGATTATATTTATCCATGGAACCATTATCCTTTATGTAACCAGGTAAAAAGGTGAACTAATATAAATTATGATTATTTTCTTAAATACAGGATGGAGCATGAAAAACGTCATGTTTCTTTGGACACGCTGTACAGTTGTATGTTTTCCCTCTTGTTTACCCACTCCTCAAAATAGTTTTTATATCTACGTAGTAATTGATAAAAATAGTACAACTGACGTAGTAGAGCCAGCTTGTCAAGGATTATACAATTACACACGGAACAAACAAATTTTATTTTTATTCACATTTTTCTAGAACATTCTTTTTTTAGATCTTTCAAGGGACTGTTGTCTTATATTCAAGTGACCTTCCGTTTAAAGCTAGAGACTAGCATTAAAGGGAGTGACCGGCTATGTAAGGTAGTTGAACTGAGTATGCAGTGTTGTGGAAAACTGCCTTCGGATTCATTTGAGATAGATTACACTTTTTAAATATCTTATTAAATACTGAGTTTGAGCGGAAATTCGACTTTCAAAACTCGTACTTTGGTGGTGGATACCTTTTCAGAATTAGTTTTTTTAAATTATGAAATGGACGATACAAAATGTATAACAAATTCTACAGCAAACTAATTAGTTGTTTAGGAACAGGTTGAGAAAATAAAAATTAATCTTATCATCGAAAATAAATAATCTTGTTCAATTATTAGTTTCTATTTTCTCAAACTCAGGATGTACAGATCATTAAAAAGTGTAATCTGTCTCAAATGAATTCGAAGGAAGTTTTCTACAACACTGCATACTCAGTTCGACAAACGAAAACTTTAATGCTTGGAATTTCTGAAATATTGTCCACCATTTATTTCTACCTCAGAAGTTGACAAAAAACGATGTACTTGTTTTTAATGGTATAAATTGAAAAGATTAACGTTATGTGGATTGTAAATCAGTATAATCCGTATAAATATATCCCTAATGGAGGATATTCTGTGGGTATCGTATCAGGAACCCGGAAGGGAGAAATTTTTGGAGTGTAAACAGACCTATTTAATTTAATACGTTACTACAGTGAGAACCAAAAAACTCTGGAATGTAAAACGACATTAAAATAGTCTGCATTTGATATTGTTATAAAGCAAATTGGCATACTAGACGACTTAAAATCACCATAAGTGAATTTGTCTGTGATTGCACAACTGTTGTCTCTCATTTACATTGAACTATCTAAAATCTTAATTTGAGTCTTAAAGTTGTCTAATTCCAATCAAACGTTTTCTAGTTTTCACTGTATTAAAACTTTTTACTTTGTAACAATATCAAACACACTTAAGGATTGGTACAATGTCGTCTTCCTTTTCTACAGTTTATTAGTTCTCACTGTGCAAACAAGCGTTATTTCAAACACAAGGTTTGACCCAATACGAATGAAAAATATTTGTATTCGAGTTTTTATGTTTTTCATTTTCTTGCTTAAACCAAACGATTAGTACATACGTCATTATTATTTATTTCCTACAAGATATTAAATTCTAAATCATGTTTTTTTTAATAACGTTTTTAAGGAACTGTAGTAATTTGAAGTGACAATAGAATTAGATGATTAAGCATAATTGCTCGTAACCCTCCTACATTGCTTGCCAGAAAACAATGGAATAGGAAGACGACATTATAGCAATAGCAATAGCGTTTTAATGTTGTTACAAAGCAAACATTTTTACTAGTTAGCAAAGCACAACTTAAGTGAAAAGGGCCCATTTACACTGTACACTTTCTTTGTCTAATGTTCATTGAACCAGTTTACGTCCTAACTTGAGTTTAAAAGTCGTCTTCCTATTTCAGAGTTTTCTGGTTATCACTGGAGTAAAAATGGAAAAACCCAATTCACAACGATACCCTTAAAACCCCTATGTGGAAGATGCTGTCGAATTTTTGAGGAAAAACCAAAACTGAAAATAATCTGTTTTCCGAAGTGTAGACATTATTATCTGATTCATACTTGATCAGACCAAAGCTTTTAAATGTACCGTTGTGAATCGGGCATTGCTATTTTTGCATGGAGGGTCAATTGAAATTACGCGGACAGTCTCTTTACGTTAGACAAAATAATAAATATATTCTTACATGCGAGTAAACATTAACATCTACCTTGATGTTTTCCACTAAAAAACATCAATTCAGTCAGGGAAAATTTTTTGCTTGTCTCTTTGTGTGTTTGTTTGTAACCAACTAAGGACTGAACTGATCGGGTCCATTTTTTTGTGGGACTTCACATGATCCCGGGGAAAGGTTAAGGATATTTACTTTGTAACAACATGAAATACAGGAAGTAAAGGATATTTACTTTGTAACAACATGAAATACAGGAAGTAAAGGATATTCTCGCGGAGTCAATATAATCCGTAGATCTCCTTATATATGATTAAGATCAATGCTTGGTCTCCAGATTCACATCATAAAAATTCTGGACTCATCTAGAGCCAAATACAGGGTTTCCCAATAAACATGGGAATTCAGTGACGAATTGGATATCGTCTTTGTTATGAATTAGGATTGCATTACCTAATTTCAAAAGCCATACTATTATTATGTCTGCTAGGGTTTAATTTCTAAAAACTCTGTTTGTGTACTGCAATTTTCTTGTTTTACTAAGTACAACCGTATGCAGTCAAAACATAAACAAACAAATTGTAAACATAGCAGACGAAAATCTTACGGATTACAGCTTTCTCATTAAGTATTTCTATACTAAATCAAAGAATTATTTAAAAAGACAATATCAAATACGTCACTGAATTCCCATGTTAATTGGAACACCCTGTACCTGGTTCAGAAAAATGCTAAATTGTCTTAAATACGTGCCGGGTATGTGGGGAGAGATAAGAGAGTGATAAAATAGTGAACATAAAACAATGATGGGCTTTCATTTTTTGAAACTATAAAAACTGTAAACTTCCTTTATCTCGCTTCCCTATTCCTGCATTAATCTTTCCTTGCATTTTTTATTTCAATATTTCTCCATTTTTTTAATTTCACGGGCAATGTTAGATTTAGCAGGCCAAACGGCTGAATCTAATTGGCTGATATTTTTTAGTGAACCCTTGATTGAGTTCCCCGGGGATAACAAAGGCTAAAAAATCAATGTTTTCAAAATCAGAATTTAATTATCAAAATTCAATTTTTTCTGCTTCAAAATTCGACATTTTTTTCAAGTGTTTCAAAAATTTGTTAAACGCCGGGCACTTCAGATAGTTTTTATCAAGGTTATAATGTACGGAAAGTTATTTCAGAGGTGTACGCATCTTTTATACTGCAGTGTACTGTTTCTTTGAGGCAATCTAAACACAAGACGGATGTCACAGCCTGACATGGGATCCATCTTTCACATAAAAATCGATGAAATATTCTGGTCATAGGAAACTATTATGTGAATTATAAAAATTTTCAAAATTCAATGCTTTTACCCTTCCCGGATACTAGAAGAACACTGATGCATCAATTCTTGTTTACAAATTCCGCCCAGAGAGAACTGGTTTCAATATGTACGCAGAGTATGCGCAACTGCAATTAACTTGCCTTGCATTACAACCTTGGTTTTTATTCAAAGCTTTCATATATATATTAGACTGTTTATAATCTCTCTACATATTTCTCTGTATTGTAATTTTGTTAAATCAATTTAAATATATTTATAGTTAACAATAACAAGACATAGAATATAAAAATATTGATATTAGAATATTTAGTTGGTTAGCGTATAATGGCTACAATTGATACATATGTTACGTAGGTAAGAAATAATTATGATTAGAAATGTTTTTTGTTCTCATGAATTTATAAATAAATTTGGACCTAATAAAACGCCACTTAGTATTTCAAATTGAAAATGGAGAATATATTACCGGTATTTCAGTTTATAGATTTAAATTTCCAAAAACCCGTTAAATGCAATTTTTCGGTGTAATAAACACTTTCTGACGTTGACTAAGAATTCACCTTGATGCAATGTCACGTTACAACGCTTCTGCCGAAAAAAAACGGCATGCAAAAACGCCGTTAAATTGCAAATATAGAGAGAATAATCACAATTTTGGGTTCCCGTGAACTGCAAGAGTTCGCAACTTTTGTATTGTTAATCCCTTTTGAAAGCACTAATCGTACATTTTTTGGAAAAAACAGATTTTGTTGATCTGTTTAAAAGGACAAGTGACGCTGGAAACATTGGCCGATCAGAAGTGACTAGAACACCACTCTCAGCTAATGTAAACCCTCAAAAAGAAGTCCGCTGTTTTCTTGGCCTAAGCCACACCGGACTAACCAGAGTGCAGCATTCGGTTTCTTCAATTTTGAAATCAAACGTGTTTTGGTCTATACTTCAACAATCTTTTACCTTAAGGATTTGTTTATTTTATACTTTTTCATTCAAAATGTATATGCCGACAAAAAAGTATTTAAGAAAAAGGGCTAAAAAATTATGTCTAATGGGTCAAATTGTGATCGAAAGCCACAACTTTCTGGAATATTGACAGAACCGTTAAATCCACGTGAAGCGGTTTATCTATTTAGATTAAAAGTTTCAATCTCCCTATTGAGTTAAATATTAGCACTTTCTCATACAAAATTTCCGAACAAAGGACAATTTTTTTATGAATAATATTGACTTAAGAGGTTAAAAATCGAATGTTTTGATCGATTTAAAATGATTGTGTGATTGGTTGCGAACTAGAATTGCACAAGGTTAGTTGAACATGGTACAGGGTGTCTGTAAACCCATCAATTGAATAGGGTACAGACAGGGTGTTTGTAGACGTACCCTTTAGAAGGATTTTTTAAAAACAGTTTATCACAATAAATACAACAAAGAAAAGGCAGATATAAGGTACACATGTACAATATATTCATAACAAGTCATCACGTTGCTTTAAGTGTACTTTGCAGTACATTGTACCTGCCTTTTCAGTTCACGTACATTTATCACATTGGTTATTTTAACATAATTACAGTCGATGTAGAATTAATAATATACTATAATTGGTTGTAAAATTTAAAATGATCTGAGTATTTTTAGGTTTATTTAGATGAGGGAGGGGATGCAGGGCTGCCATGAGTTTCCTGATACGCAGAATCACCTCCAAGCCCCGCAAAACCGTCTCCGCGCCTCTCGCTACGACTCCAAGCCTCCGCTATTCTGTCTTCATGCTGCACTGGGCGCAGAATGGCAGAAGCTTTGAAAAGTAGCGAGAGGCATGGAGTTGTTTTTGCAGGGCTCGGAGGTCATTCTGCGTATTGGGAGGCTCCGGAGGTCATTTCGCGAAGCTCATGGCGACTCTGCACCACCTCCCTCATTAGATACGTATCGTGCCACTCTGGGGTTAATCAATATTTAATCCTAGCTGGGTTATTTTATTTAAAGGTTTCACGTCGTAAATTTTTTTCATAAATAAATTTAGTTTGATTTTAAAAATTACTATTTACTAATTATTTGATCTTAAGTCCTAAAAAAATATGAAATAGTAAAAATAAATTTGCTGCGTGAGATTCATTTTTTTCAGCTAGGTTGGATTTGTCTCAGTCGTCCTAAAATTCTAAAAATGGTCTGTCCTTTTATGCAAATTGAAATAGAAAAATAGAAAATATTAGTTGGTTAACGTCGATTCAAACCAATATCTAGTTTGAAAATATATAGATTTATAATTATAAAAAGCTATGGTTAACTGGGTTTTTTTTGTAAAAAAATTGGATCGAAATTTATTAAGGAGCACAACATTTGAACATTTGACATTTGAACAAACAACATATCATACCAAATGCTACAATCACCGAAACTGGTTTGTGTGTATAAGTAGTTTGTTTCAGGATTCACCTAACACCCTCCTGATGACTCCTTTTCAATGCCCAATTTGGAATTTACCAACTGAAAAAGTTTGAAAGACTTTCCTTAACTTTTCTCCCAAACTAGATTTAAGACTGTTATGAAGTCTATGCAAAATTGAAGAAAAAAACCTAAAAGTTTGAAGGGACTGTAAACGTAATTTTAAGTGACCCCTCCTGCAATGATGACAATGCCGATTAACAACGGTACCTTGTAACCGTAAAGGGAGTGACCGGCAATGAATGTTAGTTGAACTGAGAATGTAGAATTGTGGAGAAGTTTTTTAGGATTCATTTGAGACATATAAAAGGTTTAAATGATATGTAAAATTACTGAGTTTGAGTGCAAAGTCGACATTCAAAATAATCCATTTAGGTTGTTACGTTCTGAGAATTGATATTTTTAAATTAATAAATAACGACGACAAAAAATGTAACAAATATTCTACAAATTTATTAAGTTTTGATAATTTCTCCTCAGTTTCTCAAAAACAAGAAATGCAATTTTGAAGAGAAACCACAAATAATTAGTTTAAAGAATCAAAGACATGGGTATATAATTCATACTTGTTTAGATAACGGTGTTCAGGGTACCGCTGTTAATCAGGCATTGCCATATTTGCAGGCTGGGTCACAGGAAATTAGACATACAGTCTCTTTCATGTAGTTGCTGATATGTTAGTGGTAAGTGGTATCAGGCACAATATTTTTTATTGGCAGGCACGGTGCTAACATTTGTTTAATGTAATTGAAAGAAAAATGGAATGAAGGAGTGGGGGGGGGGTGAGCTTCAAAATTTACTATATATATGTATATATATGACTAAGATAAAGTTATTTATTCTCACAGTTTCACTCCCACAAGGGTCTGTTTAAAACCTGATAAATCCGCGAGTGTCACCAGTTTATCTTGTCCGACTGTTAGATCCTCCCTCCGTCCCAGAGAGTGCGGCTGCGCTGCCTTTTTTCGATTTTTTCGAATGAACTTTGGCGTGCCGTTTCTTCTCGTCAGACCGAGCAAACTTTCGACCGCAGGAGTCGCAAGTGAATGGTTTCTCGCCTTTAAAAAAAATCTTACAAATTTGGGGGTTCATAAAATACCAATCACCAATGTTTTCAAACAGTATTTTTATGTTCAAATAGAAGATACATTTTTTAATACGGTAGGAAAATAACTTTCTTTGGCAAAGAATTAATTATTTTACCATTTTAGAAATGTCAATATGTAACAAATAATTTTCAACACGGTACTTTAAAGTCAATCCAGTTTTTGAAATTGATGCAATTAACTTCTACAGCAGTTTGGATCTATGTGCAAATAGAACTAGCTCCACTATACTATCTACTATTTATTAGATGCTATTATATTACCTGTATGAGTTCTAATGTGTGTTGTTAAATGATCTGATCGACTGAAAGATCGCATGCATATTCTGCATTGGAATGGTTTCTGTCCTAAATATGTATAATTTAGGTTAAATGGCAATGCACGGGCAGCCGCAGTACATTTAAATTTCCGAGCCGGGTCAACCTTTCCGGTCCCAGTTTGTACTGTATCGCCCGGACATTGTGTGAATAAAGCAGAAACTCAATAGGACTAGCCGGTGCAACAAGGTTGACGCGATTAGACTTTAGGTTGAATTTACTTTTACTGAAGGGTCAGAGGTGCGTGGATGTCAAAAATAAAAACAATACTACGAAAACTGATAATTGACAACAGATAAATTCTAGAAACCAAATATTTAAATTGGGAGGAAAAAAGACTCTACAAACAAGACTTTCGAGAAAATGCGGAAAGATGTTAAACAAAAGAAATTAAGATAATGTTTTAAAACAAGCTAACATAAAAAAGTCGAACAATTACTATCTAATAACATATTTCTTTATTTATTTCAATCTCAAAATCAAATATTTGGCGGAAGGAATTTTGAATCTTTGCTACACACTCTCATTTTCTAATCCCTGAATCTTTGCAACTTAATATCGGAGATTTTAGATATTTTAAACTATGAGTTATGTAGCATGTTAGATATTGGATGAAATAATCTAAGTTTGAAATATCAAAGTAAAAGTTTCTTCTATTTGTAAAGAAATAGGGATTAGAAAAATTTGAGTTTAAGGCAAAGACTCAATTCCTTTCGGAAAAAAAATTAGCTTATTTGCGAAAATTTAACCTGTATGTATTCTGATATGACGTGTTAGTTCATCACTTCTGGAGAATCTACGATCACACTCGTTGACCGGGCAGGCGTACGGTCGCTCGTGTACTGGAGTTTTGCTCGGCCGGTTCGGGTACTTCCTTGCGCGGACTGGCATCAGTCTGATCGGCATAGTAGCCTGCTGGTACACCTGGGATACATATAAAGCTATATAATTCATGCAGTTTAGCATGGTAGAATATGATCTTACATATTGTCATGCACTTCTTACCACCGTTTTTTATTATTCAAGGTTTTTAACTTTTACAAGGATGTACAGTGAGAAGCAGAAAACTATGGAACAGCAGACGACATTTAAGTAATAATTAAGAGTATTTGTAATTTTCTCTTATTATCAAATCAAAAGATATTAAACAACAAAATTTAATCGTTTCCATTTTTTGTTTTGGTCTATGATCTTATGGACAGAGTCAAAATTTGTAAAAAAGCAAATAATTACAAAGCGTACAATTTTAAAATGTGTTGAACATCTCAAATTCATGTGGATTCACTCATAGTATAATAAAAAAACTTAAATGCATGATAGCAATTTAAAATATCCTAGCCCGAGTACACCAAATTATAGTAAAGCAAAAAGTTGTTTGAATTTTACAAATATTTTTATAAAGATTCACGTGAGGTTAAATGTAAAAAATACGTTAATTATTTTCTGTTAAAAGAAAATCAGAATTAAAATGAATAATCCAAAGATTCATGTTTTAACAAACGTTTTCTTCTTCAGATTTCTTCGACGTCAGAACAATTTTTCTTGCGTAGAAATTATTTTATTTAATGATATTTAATATATTAGCGGATCAAGGATGTTAAAATTCAAATTTTAAAATGAATATTTTGAAAAAATTTAAATGGCAATCGTGTATATATGATATTTGAGCTGATGACGTCAAAGTTTTAAATTTGTTCAATTGAATTAAAACTTCCTTCATTAGTTTTTTTGTCCTCTATAAAGCAAAGTAAAGTTTAAACGTAATTTAAAGCTACCCTCCCTTGATAGAATGTCATGTCCGATGTTCTACTGCTCCCGTAAAAGTTTGAATGAAATATCAATGTTTTTTCTTTTGAGAACTAAGTATTTTTATTTCTGGTTTTTCAACAAGAGGACTTGCGCATTTCTTTTCATCAGAAGTCATGGAAAAATTTATCAAAATTGAAGACTTGTCAAGCTATAGAGAGTAACGTTATCTGCCAACTGTATCGTTTAAAGTTTAAAAGGTACTGTTGTGAATCGGACATGTCCTTCTGCATGTTAGGTTCAAGTAAAAAATCAGTTTTGTAAAGTAATTGTATTTTCAACCTGAGATAGGATTTCATGTCCTTTACTTGTTGCTTGGTTAAACTCTGCTAAACTTGCTGCAGCTGCTTGGGCAGCTACCTGGGCCGCTGTCTGCTGCTGCTGCTGTTGCTGCTGGGAGCAGTCAACAAACCCTTCCTGGATCAGAAGTAAGTTTAGACATTTCATTTAGTAGTAGAAAGCTACTCAACACAACCATTTATCGACTCTTGTTGATTGTTACTAGAAACTAGAAAAGTTTCTTAACAAATTTAGAGAACATTTTGAAAATTAACTTAAAATATCATTAAACAGCAGAAAGAATCCTGAAGTTATTATATAAAAACGCATGGTTATTTTATTGGCTTAATTTAACTAATTGTAAAGGATGACTGAAAAAAGTGTTAAAGTTTCCATCCATGTTTATATGTATATCCATACTGTTTGAAAGCTTGATGGAAATTGAAATTAAAACCCGAAAGTCGTTTTCATTGCATTCACATATACGAAAATGAATGGATCAATTGAGAATTTCTAACTCTGTCTAAAATGTGAATGATCTATAAGAAGTACAATTTCTATTGGTTCTGAATCGTTACCAAGCATATGATACATAAATCTCACTAGAAGGGGATCATTCATTTGTTGAATTGTCAGGGTTTGCCTTACATAGTCTGTCATTGTACTGTACAGCTTGTGCTGGCTGGAAAAAGGTAGGCCAATGACATAAAAAGAACCAAAGTTTAACAGTGATGACTAAACCCTGATTGGATAAAATGCTATGGGAAAGGGTGACATGTACCTGTTTAGGCACTGGAGAACCAAAAGTTGGGGAAATGTGTTCTGGAGGTTGACCCTGGCCCAGAGGAGAGTATCCCATCAAGGTTGGAGAGTAGGAGGAGGAGTAGTCTACCTTGTGTCCTCCCTGCAACCTGGTGTGAGGGTACATGTGAGCATCAGTCTCTTGAGGTGAGGTTGGGATTGGAGGAGATAGAGCAAGGTTAGGTGAGAATCCTGAACCCATCTTCAGGTGTCCTAATCCTGAATCAGAAAAGTTCATTCCAGTCATGTCTGAGAACCCGAGAAGAGACCCGGAGCCTTGAACCCGAGACTCCTCAAAGGAGGACGGAGAGGTCGGAGAGAAGGTTGGTGAGGTCTGAGTATCATGGTGGTGAGAATTAGATGAGAAGGATGTGCTGGAGTTGGTGAAGGTTTGGTTTGGTTGATCTTGTCCAGGAAATGCTTGGTTTGGAGGATCTGTGCCGGAAAAGGATTGGTTTGGAGGATCAGTGCCAGGAAATGGAGTTGTTGGAGAAGTAAACAACCAGTTAGATATACTTGTAGTTCCAGCAACAGACTGTTCCTCCATATATCTACTAAAACAAGTTCTTTATTAGCACAAATCATGACGTTTAAAATTAATGAAAATAGATCCGCACTTTAGGGCTGGCCGTGATCATACTTTTTTTAAATCGTTTGCTCCCATCCATTCATTCCTATGAATAAGTGATCGTTCCCCAGGATCAACGCCCAGCCCTACCCTGCTGTTGTCCAACCTTAAATTCATTAGTAGTGATCCATTCATCTATCACTGAATGTAAAGATAAAAGTTAAATAATGATAAATTTGATGACGTTTAACCTCAAAGAAGGCCTTTTTAATGTGAGAGGTGGATAGGGTATCATTTCAAACGAATATTTAAGAGGGACCATTGATAGGGCTGGGCGATCGCTCTTTCACCGAAACGAAGAGAACGGAACGAACGATTTAAAAAAAGGAGGAACACACCCAGCTGAAGGGCTAGGCGTCGTTCCTAGGGAACAATGCTCTTTAACAGGACCAAACAGAACTGAAAAAAGGGGGAACACGCCCAGCTCTGACCATTGCTCAAATCCTTTAAACCTTGTTTAATCTGGACTTATTTTTTAGGCAGGAAGTTTTGTATGGTTAGAATAATTTCACCACAATATTAGATAACAGATTTATTCAAAAGCAGGTTACTTAATTCGTAAGACTACAAACGGTATGGTAGGATCACCGCTTTCTGAAGGAATTAACAATTGAAAAGTACAAGAAACCTGTGATGTGAGAATGTGCCCTGAACCCTATACTGGAGGGTGTCCTCTTCGAGAACATGATCAGATGGATAACTCATTCTTCCCTTCTTTTCCCCTCTCTCCTCCTCGCCTTCCTCCTCCTCCCCCCTCTCTGCTTCACTGTCAAGTTCCTTTTTGGTTTTTCCCTCTGCTCCTAGAGGTACTAAAATAAAAGGAAATCAATAAAGTTGTTTGACATTCTTCAGCAGCATAACTGGGTATTTTTCAAAAAGACAGTTGCGCATTTAAAAAAAAATGAAATGGTACAAAATAAATGCGTATAACATAATATATATATCATATTTTATGATTATTACATATATCATAGTGTTCTCTCATCAATACCTATAGTGATATATATATTTGAATACATAACTACTTATGGAATAATAATATATAAATATAAAAATTAGGTAACAATACAGGTAACAGGACACACAAAGTATGATAGAAGCAAGGTCAACATTATTAAGTAACTTGAATGCAATGTTTCCTAGAAACGTTTTTTTCTTTCTTTTATTTGAATCCGTCAATGGTATGATTATTTATAAATACAGAGGGGAAAAATTACACTGGAACTTTTAAAGCATCTTTTCAAAACAAAACATTACAATATTTGGTTTTAAAAAGTGCTGAAATGCAAAGATTATTTTCCAAACCAAATAATGTAATTTTTCTAAACCTTAAATACATTAATAACCAGCAAAAACTCTGGAATAGGAAGACGACTTTAAGAATTAAGTTATAACTTTGAAAAGTCTAATAAGCATGAACCACAGAAATTGTACAGTGTAAATATTGACCCATTTCACTATAGTGATCTAAGAAGTGACAAGCAAAAGTATTTGCTATATAACAACATCAAATGCACTTGAGTATTGCTATAATGTCGTCTTCCTATTCCATTGTTTTATGGTTATCATTGTACTGTAAAGCATATTTTCCAAACCCAATATTGTAAAGCATATTTTCCAAACCCAATATTGTAAAGCATATTTCAAAACCAAATATTGCAAAGCATATTTTCCAAACCAAATATTGTAAAGCACCTTTTCCAAACCAAATATTGCAAAGCACCTTTTCCAAACCAAATGTTGTGAGAGCATGTAGATTCTAGCTCCTTTAACCCCTGCATGTTTATTACTACTGATGAGAGTAACTATTTTATTTTTTTTTAAGAGAGAGAAAATCCGGGAGTATACCCCCCCCCCCCTCCTTCTCTTTGTGGTGTAATTATCTTGAGTGCCCCCCCCCTCTATCCTTAATCGTCATATTCCTTTTAAAATTGTTTACGTTTACGGCAAAATAAAATAAATGGAATTTTTTTTCTTTCAATCTAAATGTATCTTTTGATTGAACCATGGATGGTGGAAAAAATGGGTTTTAGGGGTAAAAAAAGAACTCAATGCATGTATAATTCAAGGAACAATCTTCTTAAAATTTAAAAAATTTAAGTTTAAGTTTTAAAATTAAATGATGAAATATTAGATTACTTCAAAAAAAAATTAATGAAGTTGAATTATTAAGAATAAAATAATTAGTTTATTAAACAAGAGTATAGAGAGAGATGAATGAAGAAACGCAACTTTTTAAATGATTTGATAAATGCGAAACTAACAATGAACTAAGTATGCAAAATTTGATCTGTCATTCAAACGCCAAAAGAAAGTGTAATGAAGCTTACATTTTTACATATTTTAAAATAAAAAAGATACATTGGTTTGAAAAATAAGAGTCCCTGACTTTTACACCAAGACATACCTATTTTCTATATCAACGTGAATTGGAAAGTTAGGATAAAAAAGTTAAAATCCAACACTTCCCCTATATGAGCATACAAGTTTAGTGTCAGGTTTGTGTATGAGCTGTAGCTATGAAGTAGTAATCTTTGTTCATCTGATTTAATGTCCTACCATGAATAGGCCGATTTGCTTCAAATTTGAATGGGAATGTTCTTAGATTGGTTTTTAAAAATTGAGTTTGTTAACCTTTACAGGAAAAGTTTAGTTTTCAGGCAAAGCTGGGTGTCCAAGTTAGTTTTACTTAAAATTCGCAATTGTCTAATGGTTCTTCAGTATTCATGTATCCTCTATGGGTAATAAAGAAAAAGAGGCCAACAAGCCAATGTAAAAAACATTACATAAAAGATTATATTTCCACGCCAAGTTTGTCTTATTTGTCAAAAATTTGGAGAAAACGGAGGTTCAAGGGTCCTGTCGGAGTTTTATCGATTGCGAGGGTGGGCCTTAGTCCAGCAACAGGTTCAGAGCCCGAAATTTAAAAGAATATCGTTGAGCAAAACTACCGAGTTTCCTTATTGGGGTCTTAACATTTGTGTAGATTTTGAATTAAGAGATTTTAAAAAATGGAAAAATGAAGAAACTAAATAGAATAATATTTTAAAACAAAAATAATGATAATAACAAAACTGCCTAAGCCCACTCTTGAAACCCGGGTTCCAAAACTGGTTTTCATAACGATACCTTGTCTTAAGTTTTGGGCTCAGGGGAATATATACAATACACCTGGCTCGGGGGTATATACAGTACACCTGGTTCAGAGCCCAAAATTTAAAAGAGTATCGTTGAACGAAACTCCCGGGTTTCCTTTTTGGGGTCTTATTATTTGTGCAGATTTTGATTTAAGAGATTCGAAAAAAATGGTAAAATTAAGAAACTAAATTAAATATTATTTCAAAACAAAAATATCGATATCTACAAAACTGGGTAAACCCATTTGTGAAACCCAGGTTCCAAAACTGGTTTTCATAACGATACCCTGTTTTAAGTTTTGGGCTCAGGGGTATATATACAGTACACCTGGTTCAGGGGTATATACAGTACACCTGGTTCAGGGTATACACAGTGCACCTGGTTCAGGGGTATATAAAGTACAACTGGGTATATAAAGTAAACCTGGTTCAGGCGTATATACAGTACAACTGGTTCAGGGGTATATACAGTACACCTGGTTTAGGTGTATATACAGTACTTTGATTCTGGGGTATATACAGTACACCTGGGTATATAAAGAACACCTGGTTCAGGCGTATATACAGTACAACTGGTTTAGGGGTATATACAGTACAACTGGTTCAGGGGTATATACAGTACAACTGGTTCAGAGGTATATACAGTACACCTGGTTCAGGGTATACACAGTGCACCTGGTTCAGGGGTATATAAAGTACAACTGGGTATATAAAGTAAACCTGGTTCAGGCGTATATACAGTACAACTGGTTCAGGGGTATATACAGTACACCTGGTTTAGGTGTATATACAGTACTTTGATTCTGGGGTATATACAGTACACCTGGGTATATAAAGAACACTTGGTTCAGGCGTATATACAGTACACTGGTTCAGGGGTGTGTATACAGTACATCGAAGGGGTGAAAAGTGTATACATACTGTATATCAGATGTATAAACTTTGTCTGATACAAAAAGTATAACTTATACATTTCAATTTTTTAACAGAAATCGTGGATATGTAAATTTGGAGCTTTTTAAAATTCATTCCGGATCTATTTCACCTTTACCCTTCTTAGTTTATAAATATTTCTTTATAGTTGAAGGTACGGTTGTTAATTATCATTGAAACAAAGAGAACCCTATAAGATTATTTTGGTCTCACCGGCATTTGTAAGATCTGCAAATATAGGTTTATCGGTCTCAATTTTTACAGAAGCATCATTCTTCTCCATTTGTCCTTCAGGTAAACTCATCTCACCCTCATCTTTGTCCTCCAGAGCATCCCCTGCTCCTGGAGATAGGTTGGAGGTCCCTTGATCAGCAGATTCGTCATGTTTGACAACCTCGTCCCTCTTATGGGTCGCTGGTCGCTGGTTCGTCGCATTGGTGGATTTACTGGATTTACGAGGAAGACAGGAAAGCTCTGGGAAAAATTCTGCTCCTTTAATTTCAACACTCAACACATTGTTCAACGATGTTAATTAAAATCAATCTATGACATTGTTGAACTGCAATCTGTTTCAAAGTTTTTGATACCAACATTCATAACTTTATTTTAAAACAGAAGAAAAGGAAGTTTTTAACCAAAGATTAGCAATAAAATCTACAGGACAAAAGATGTTTGCAGTGTACAATGGTACTTATATTATATTTTAGACTCACTGAAGAGAATCAAATTATGTCATTTTATGAGAATTCTTGTTGTAAGAGGATATAAATCATTAAACTCTGCAACCATAGAAAACACGTCATTTACGGGCAAAAACGCAATAAAAAATAACATCTGAAAGTATTATGTGATTTTTTAATAGACAAAATTCTTTTGAAGTGAAAATCGATGTTTTATTATAATATTTCAGTTGAAACTAGTATTGCCTACAAAAAAGGGTTTATAAGAGATTAAGCAAAAAAATATGCTTAATCAGTCAAAACATGATTTCTCGTCACAGCTTGCTGCTGGCCAAGGACCGAACTGTTACATCAGTAAATTTTTAACAGAGGCTTGCTTCAAATTATGCCTACAATCCTAAAATGGTCTAACCAAGTTTTTTTTATTAAGATCCATTTTTTGTGTTAGTTCCTAGTGAGACTGGTGTGTCTAAAGATTCACTGCTAGACCTTGGTGAGAAGGACCTAACAATTAGATTAGAAAATTTTTTTCAGAAAAAAAAATCTTTGTGTGTATTTGCAATCATGAAGCTATCAAAAATACAAACGGTCCAATTTTAAGTTAATTTTTTGAGAAAAACACGACTAATGTTTGCTGGGTGAATGACAGTTCTGGTCTCAATTATTGTCATTTCGTCCAAAACATTTGTACTACAAAAATCAAAAACCACTAAAGCTATTTTATTTCAAACTTTATAACGAAAACTATTATAGTTTGTGAATTTTGAGGTCAAAATATCAAAAGAGGGACCGAATTTTTTAGTCCAAAAGTTAAAAGATTTTTTTAAAGCATAGTTCATCGTTGTTTAATAGTTTAACAATATTTTTTTTCAACGTTAACTTTTATCTCATAAGAATTTAGAAATAAATTGTACTTTAAGATTAATCTTTAATCCTATGCCACTTTAAAAACTTTCGATATAAACCAAAGCCATTCAATTTTAATTTATGTTTGTTCTGCTGTAATTTCTTTGAAAAACAAAAGTTGAAAAACACATGGAAACAATAACAATCAGAGAAGGAATTTCCAGTCTGGAAACTTTAAACAATACCACCATTAATAAACCTGGCTTCGGAAAACGAAACCGATTTTGCTATGGTTATCTGGTTCTAAAAAAGAAGAACTTCAACAGAGTGTCCCGCAAAACATGATAATTAGTAAGACTGTGGAGTATAAAGACAAACATTTAGTTAATCATATGTGAATTTGATGTCTGTGTACACTGCACACATTGCCGTGTTTCATGGTTCTTGGTTATCTTTGAGTCCAGCAAACGTCATCCTATTCCTCAACTTTATTCCCACTGTACTACAGGCCATTCATAAATACTTTATTGCAAAAGAGGTATTACATATTGTTACTTTTTAACTCTAACAGATATTACATATATGGAATAAGGTAATCAATGTAAAATTTTAAAAAGAATTATGTTTTAGCCACAAACTCAGATGTTCTAATCTCTAAATCTTTGCCAACAATTCTCGTGTTCCTTAGATATTTCAAACTATGAATTCTGATAGATCTGGAAGTCAAATATCGAAGGTTTACACCATTAGGTTGCACAGATATACAGATTAGAAAAAATTGAGTTTAAGACTCAAAGTACTGTGTGTGCGAGTTGAGTATTAAATTAAAGCTCCAAAGGAAGACTTGTTTTCATGTTTTGTGAACCACGCTGTAATTTTTTAAAAAATAAAAGAGGTTGAAATACTTAAACAATCTGAAAAATCAAGACCTGACCGAAACCAGGTTTACAAATCATGGTTTTGTAATTCTTTAAAAGAACTGTAAGCGTAATTTCAAGTGACCTTCCATTGAAAGATGTTAATGCCCGATTCACAACATCAGTACTCTTAAAACCTTCGAATGATTAATGTTGTCGAAATTATATCTCATTAATCTACAAAAACGCTTGAAATTGTTTAATACTCTTGAATGTTTTTAGTTTTGAGAATAAGAATGTTCATTTTCTAGAATTGGCAAAAAAAATAAATATTTTCTTTAGAGTTTTTGAAACTGCTTTTAATGTAAAATATTCGATTTTGTCAAATTAAACAAAAAGCGCATCAGCTGTGTTGAGGTCAACATATTGTACAATTGTCACTTGAAATTACGCTTTAAATTGAACCTGGTGGGACTGTGTCCAGGGGAGGGGGTTGATATAGTGGACATCTGGTTCAGCTTGAGCTTGAACCTGTCCAGGGATAGGAGGGAGATGTTGACTTCACTGAGCATTATGTCCATTGAGTCCAGACTTTCTTTGCTCTCCATAATCATTGCTTATCCTTTTAAACCCATACTTCATTTCACAAACTTACTTAGGTTGTTTAGGTTATAGATAACCCGGATGTGCTCCAATGTACGGAAATGTCGTCTTCATATCAATGGACACTCAAAATCCTCAAATGTCGTAACTGATTTATGGCGGAAGATGATGTAAAACGTTGTTTGTGAGAGGGAGGGGGGGAGGGCAGGAATTTCGCTGATTTTTACAGTTGACAAGCGGAGAACATCCTTCCCCTCCCCCTTCTCACCAAGAACAATATCACTTCATCTTCTGGCAACAATTACTTATGTTATGAAAATTTTGAGTGTCCATTGCTACAAAGACGACATTTCTAGTACATTGCTTACTACTGAGTTTTCTTATAATTTTAGATTTTTGTATTAATAATGTTTATTTTTATGTATTATGGCTTTTAAATAAATATTGTATTGTGTGGTTTAGAGTAAAGAATGTAACGAACTAAAAAAAAATTATTCCTAAAATCATTTATTTAGAAAATAAGCTGCAGTGACGCTGCTCAGTCTAATATTAAACTTTTTTCTATTTATATGCATATTGAACATTCTATGTGACCATTAAAATACAGATATTTAAAGTGAATAAATGCCATATTTTACATCTAATTTCTTGGAAGTTAAATAGTAAAAAAAAGATACGCTCTATGCAGAATAGTTATCAAAATTTTCTCTTAAACAAAAAAATATTCAAATGTAATTTTTAATTTCTGAAACCTTTAGAATTTTTTTTCATTTGAAATTAATGTTTAAGTTTAACGAATTCAGAAAGCTTTATGAGGTAAAAGTTTGAAAACTAAGCCTTGACATCTCTGTATGAAATTTTTTATTCATCTCAAAATGTCTCAAACCTGCATTATTTAAATATAAATTCATAAATTTAATTTGACCATTCATAAGATTGTCATGCTTTGTGCATGGCTTATTTTTAAATATTATGTCGATAAGTATTCACAAACTTATTTTTAATAAAACTTTTTTCCGAGATAAAATGTTTTAAGCTAAATTTGGTCACAAACCTAATTAATTTTTTGAAAGCTCTGAAAATAATTGCTCTTACTCAAACAAATGCAAAATAATTAATAATAGAAATATTAAAGGAAAAGGAAATTTCAAAATATTATTGACTTAATTCATAATTATTATATGTAATATAATCCAAAAGAAAATTTCTATATTTTGTTTTTATTATTTTAAATTGATAATTTGGATTTTTGAGAACAACTTAGAAAATGGTGAAACAAATTCTGGCAATTTTATAAAATATAGAATTAGATTATTTTAATGGTTTTAAGTAATTTTGACAAGTTAAAAACAAGTATGGGGGTTCCTGTTATTCCTGAGGCTTGTTGATGCCTCGATACTATTAAAAAATACCAGTTTGAAAGTTTTTGTTTTAACTTTAGAATATGATCACTTGAATTATCAAATGTTGGCTTTACTTATTGACAAAGATATCACAAGAGTGTACATGTTTTCATTCTAATTTATGTACTATGTACATGTGTACAAGTGAATGTACATCTACTGATCTGGACCTGTTGTCTCTCCCTCACTATAAACTATATCTTCAACTATGAATGAACCTCTCTTGACTAAACTGAGGATCATGTGACGTCATTGTGACGTAACAGAATTCAATCCTCAAAACCTGGTTCGGGTTAAACTTATCCAGCCTCTTACACTAGCACAACTCAGGGTTATATTTAAACCAGGGACCCTCTGGGGGGAAAATGAAACATTTGGGACATTTTTACCCCGTGTCGTTATTGTACTAGGGCGATAATGCGGGTTTTACATCCCGGTGTTCAAGAAATTGTGTGATAATTCAACCCATGGTGTAGAGTAGAGGGGTAGGGAGGGGGGGGGCCTGGCTGCGTAGGGCGCGTAAATACTCTTCGTGAATTCTGGTTTTACGGTATTATGGAACAGGTGTTTCTACATTATCTATATTTTTGCTGACATTTCACAAAAACTTTATTTTTTATAATATCTATCTAAATATAAAATTTTTAACTGAACCATTAAAACACGTCAAAGATTCTCACATTTTTCACCGTCATTGATTTGCAGCAATAAACTGTCCGCTCTAAATCTGGAAACTAATTTATTTACATTAGTACAGAAAAATGTTTATAATAATTAGACGTTTTTTAGGTTTGTCATTTATTTGATACAATTTACTGGCTTTAACACGTACTTCACTAAACTCTTTTTTAGAATTATGAAAAGTGTAATATAAATTTCCAAGAAGTAGAAAAAATTCCGAGTGATAATAAATGTTATTTAGACGTAGAAATATATTTATAATTTTAGAATTTCTAAAAGCTATTAGGGGAGAAAACGTTATTAACCTTTTAAATTCTTTTCTAATTGTGCTTCTGTCGTCAATCAAATTCAATCTCAATTTATTAATTAGTAATTGTTTTCAATCATACCTCTTCTTTTTGAGAGGTAAAAAAACGTTTTGAGTTTCTAAAATACAACCAAATAAATTAAAAAGAGAAGCTGCGAGGTCATAAAGTCGTACTATTAATTTCGCTATCTAGAATTTTCTTTGTGTATAGTTTTTGGAATCAAAATATATTTCAATTTAAGAGAAAAACATAATTTTTGGGCCATTTTTAGCAAATATACAATTGATATTTGTGCTTAAATTCTTTCTTTTTAATAAATCAACAATTATTTTAGATTTATTTTTCAATCGAATTATAGCACATTTAGTTTTTCTTCGGATCGATGTATTTCAAGAGTTTTAAGTTGTTATCATCACCGATAAGTGACCCTTATATAATATCTATTTTCAAAGAATACGTAAATACCAAACCTAATTAAATATATTTTTATAAATTATTTATTTGACTTTACGTTAACAATTGCAGGTTTGTTAGTTAAGGTTTTTTTTGATGAATCTTGAATGATAAAAAACGTGTTTAGTTTATTCCGATATATCCAGGACATACTTAGCTCTAGCTAGTTGAGCGTGAGTTTATTCCGATATATTCTGGACATACTTAGCTCTAGCCAGTTGAGCGTGATGTGAATTCTAGAAATATCAAAGTGCAAAACTTGTCAAATATTTTACTGTCTTTTACGTACAGTTTTACCCATAAAGGATAAGACTTTAAAGACGACCTGGATCTGACCTGGATCTGACCTAGATCTGACCTGGATCTGACCTGGATCTGACCTGGATCTGACCTGGATCTGACGGATAACTTGGAAATTAGGTCTTTGACGGATGTTTAAATTGATTTTTTAAAGGAAGCCAACATTAGTGTAAGAAAATAGGCTGTGAAAAATCCTAAAGTCTTATTCTTTGTGGTTAACCTTGTGGTTAAACTTGTGGTTAACCTTGTGGTTAACTGTAATTTATCCGTTTTTATTATTAAAAAGTGCTTTTACAATTTTCTTGGTCTTTCTCATAAAACTATTATAAATTTTTAATTAAAATTTTTTCAGTTAAAAAATAATCGAATGATGACCTAAATGCCCCGGACATAAATGCTATCTGTCCTCTCTAAAAAATTTTATAAAAGCGCTGTTTCCAGAGAACAATAAAGTTTAAAAATTCATAAAAATAATGCTTGACTTTGATTTTCTGGAATTTTTTTTTATTAATTTTATTTTGTAACAATAAAGTTTTGCGATCAAGTTTAATATCTTTTCATTTCATTTTTCTATTCTATTTTTTAAGACTTGGTCGACTCTGACAACGTCTCTTGGTCTTCAGTTTCACCTTCCAGCTTCTATAACTTACATATACAATTGTGTAGCCCTAGACATTTGCATTTTAGATCTACAACGAGCTTGTTTTCATCATCAGTTTAAAAGAGGTCCCCACCCTTCAGTCTCCACATGCATAGTGAGAATTTAATGCAAACGTGTTAACCAATAGTCAGAATATAATAGTGGAATACACTTTAGTAAACATTATAATAGTGGAATACAATTTAGCAAACATATTAACAGTGGAATACACTTTAGACAGCAATATAATAGTGGAATACAATTTAGTAAACAATATAATAGTGGAATACACTTATAGTAAACAATATAATAGTGAAATACACTTTAGTAAACAATATAATAGTGGAATACAATTAAATAAACAATATAATAGCGGAATATAATTTAGTAAACAATATGATTGTGGAATACAATTTAATAAACAAAATAATAGCGGAATACTATTTTGTAAACAATATAATAGTGGAATACTTAATTTAGTAAACAATATAATAGTGGAATACAATTTAGTAAACAATATAATAGCGGAACGTAATTTAGTAAACAACATGATTATGGAATACAATTTAATAAACAATATAATAGTGGAATACACTTTAGTAAACAATATAATAGTGGAATACAATTTAATAAACAATATAATAGTGGAATACAATTTAGTAAACAATATAATAGTGGAATACAATTTAGTAAACGATATAACAGCGGAATATAATTTAGTAAACAATATGATTGTGGAATACAATTTAATAAACAATATAATAGCGGAATACTATTTTGTAAACAATATAATAGTGGAATACACTTTAGTAAACAATATAATAGTGGAATACAATTAAATTAACAATATAATAGTGGAATACAATTTAGTAAACAATATAATAGTGGACTACAATTTAGTAAACAATATAATAGCGGAATATAATTTAGTAAACAATATGATTGTGAAATACAATTCGATAAACAATATAATAGTGGAATACTATTTTGTAAACAATATAATAGTGGAATACAATAAATTTAATAAACCCAAATGTATACAATCTAAATTTCGAAATTAAAAAAAAACAGCTTATTTTGCAGCAAAAGTTGAATGGCATTATGTTTTTGAGTTTACGCATATTTTTGTTGCTTATTTGGGAGCCATCCAATTTTTGCTGCGAAGATTTTCTAATACCTATATTTTTGCAACCTAATAGTGTAAACCTTTGATTTTTCAAACTTAAATTATTTGATATAACAGAAATCATAGTTTGAATTATCTAAGGTCTACGGCATTGAGATGCAAAGACATAGGAATTAGAAAATCATAGTTTGTGGCGAAGACTCAATTCCTCACACCTACCTGAAGTTAGAAGTATCCAGATCTCAGAATGGTCTACTACACTCTTCTTCAGATTTCCCATCCTACAGACAACATTTTATTGTACAGGATGTACAGTGTACAGTGTACGGGATGTACAGTGTACAGCGTACAGGATGTACAGTGTACAGAGTACAGGATGTACAATGTACAGTGTACAGTATGTACAGTGTACAGTATGTACAGTGTACAGTATGTACAGTGTACAGTGTACAGGATGTACAGTGTACAGTGTACAGTGTACAGGATGTACAGTATACAGTGTACAGGATGTACAGTGTACAGTGTACAGTGTACAGTGTACAGTGTACAGTGTACAGTGTACAGTGTACAGTGTACAG